CACGATCCAATTCATCAGACCTACAAATTAAAAAAGAAAGATCTAGCCGGATTCTATCCTCTTGGAAATTCATATATATATATATATATATATATATATATATATATATATATATATATATATATATATATATATATATATATATATATTATAAAAGACATTTTATGTTTATACGTTCTTTTTATAGATACAAATATTTAAGTAACTGCTCTGTTTATAATAAACAGTATTAAACAACATTTACCGGCCTGAATGTCCGAGAAATGTTCTTAGAAAATATGCGTCCCTATAGGATACAGGTTCGATTCCTGTCGGAGGACGATATTTTCTATGAAAATTTCTCGGACATTCAGAACGGTAAATGTCGTTAATACTGTTTATTGTAAACAGAGCATTTACTTAAATATTTATATCTATAAAAAGAACGTCAACTATAAAAATGTCTTAAAAAAACTATCGGACTTTGTCCATAAAAAATGTCTCAAATAAATATATATATATCCATTTTATATATATATATATATATATATATATATATATATATATATATATATGAAGAAATATAGTTTCAAGGTGTGGCTATATTTACGGGATAAAGTGCTCAATATCAGAGATAGAGTGCCTGTAAAATATAAATATAAAAGTGAACATTGATATCAACACTCCAGAACGACAGGCTGTTTCATGCAAGACGCAATCGTCAGGTCGCCGATTGCGTCTAGCATGATACAGCCTGTCAACTCTGTTGACTTCAATGTTCACTCTTATATATATATATATATATATATATATATATATATATATAGAAAACTAGACTCGTTTCGAAAAACCCTCGAATTTTTGATTTGCTAATCAAATCAATCTCGAGGAAAAAAAGGTTTAAAAAAAGAAAGATCTACAAACATGGACTTCTGCCGACAAAAAAAATCGCACAGATGCAGGTCTGAAGCCCAAAAGAAAAAACCCTGATACGAGTAACAACTAACTAACAAAAGAGCTAACAAAAGAGCCAAACTTTCCCTGACGATCCGTTTAGGTGAAACCTAGGTAGGTTTGTCTGGCTCACTAGGTATATATATATATATATATATATATATATATATATATATATATATATATATAATAATAATAGCAATGTTAATGTGATTAATGGTGAAATCACTTCACTAACAGAATTTAATTAGACATTAACTTGAATAATAAGATCGTTATATTCAAGTTGTTGTCAGATGGAATTTGATTGCTAATTAATTCTTTGTATAAATTGTTTCTTTATTATATAAAATATAAGCTACAAACTCTAATATATTTATGACATCAGATCCTCAGTGAACAGCGGAATTTTACACCATATATTCTTTCTCTTATATATATATATATATATATATATATATATATATATATGAAAGAACAGTAAGATGTACAATCCGATGTTCTTAGTAATTATTTGTATTTTTAAAAAACAGTGCTTAATACAAAACATTAGAGCCTAATATAATAAATTTCTATTTTAAAAATAAGTTACTTTCGCGACACGCGAAAAACGGATGTCATTGTTTGTGAGCAGGCACACCTACCCCACTTTAACATCAACTGATTTTGAAAGTAACTTTTATTTGATACATAAGTTTGCTAGGGAAATTAAAACCCAACCACCCCTTATCTAAATGACTGAATCTTCAGTAACGTTAACAATTTAAAATATTAAGATTTTCTGTGCTTATAAATGAAATAAACTTCTTAATAGGTTATTCCATAAAATCGCTTGAGAATGGAACGGAGTTACTGATTTTAAATTTAATTTTATAATTAAATATAAAATTTTTGTTTCTGTTTTTAAACATGGAAGCATATTTTTAAAATAGAAAATAATTATAATATATATATATATATATATATATATATATATATATATATATATATATATATATAAAAAAAACTAGGTAACACGTATGGGTAAAACCTGAGGATAAAATCCAGAGAGCTCAATGTAAATCCAGAGCAAATAATCTAAATTTCCATTATTTTTCACAATTTAAATTTTCATTTTCATTTTCATTTTTTGTTTGGAAGTAAAGTCTGATGATCCGCAGTCCTTTAAAAAGGTTGTGGTGAAATAATTTATTACATGGAACTTTAAAGTGATCTGTTTGTATTTAAATAATATATATATATATATATATATATATATATATATATATATATATATATATATATATATCTATGTCCTGGACTTCCCGTCTATTTGGCGTATGAGGGTCAAGCGGAGCTTGATTTGATTATAGTGGTGAAGATTTTTGTGCAGAACCAACAACACTTTTTGAAGGGCCGAACACAGAGATGTTTGTGCGCCGTGTGCTACAAAGTTCCCCGACCGACCCTCCTCAGGTTTTGAATTCAGAGTTGTTCTTCTAATAGACCAGTTGCTATCAAAGGCTATAGAACCCAATCTGACCTGCTATTTACCCATAGCTGAAGGGAGAAGATGAGGGTTAATACCTTTCCCCGGGGTATTAGCACGTATTTGATTCTCCAATCCCTCAATCCGAGCCGCTATCCATTACTCCACCGTGACTTTCATATATTTATATATATATATATATATATATATATATATATATATATAAACTAATCCTAAGGAGCCAGAAAAACCTACCTAGGTTTCACCTAAACGAATCGTCTGTTCCATAATTTTCCTTTTCAACCAGCATCGCCCTGAAGATCCGTTTAGTTGAAACCTAGGTAGGTTTGCCTAGCTCCTTAGGGTCATCTTAGATTTTGCTCTACTTTGTGTATTGAGCACTTTACGTAGTTGTCTTTTTACTCATTTTTTTTTTTTTTTTACTTGGATTTGAAGCTTAAACACTTGACGATTGTTTTCGCCTTGTTTTAATGTTCTTGGTTCTTTCTTTTTTTTATTCCTCATTTTTCCTCCGGTACCGATTTGTTGAGCTATCCGACGTTTTACCAAACGAGTACCACCATATATATATATATATATATATATATATATATATATATATATATATATATATATTATAATATTTGTTTGTGTAAAAATATGATTTCTTCGCTAAATAACGACTTGTAGGTGCGCCATAAAAATATCCCTCACTGGGAACTAACTAGAGGATGACCGTCAACATTAGCCTTGAAATAGATCCCCTACCAAACCTTAGCAAAACCTCTCAGAAGATGATGAATCTATAGATAAGATTTAACTCTCTGACCACTTAACGAAGAAAACTAGCCTAGCCACTCCCACAATAACGAATGTTATAACGGACCATGCCTAAAAACACACGTAAACCAAGAGATAGCTTATTCCTAAAATTTCGCTTGAAGATGAAACGGGACTAATTCAATTCAAGTTAATTTTAATAATTATTTGGATGGTTTCGGCTCTCGTTTTTGAAACATGAGAACTCTTATGTAGCGAAGGAATCATATTTTTAAACAAATGTATTATAATATAAGCTTTACTTCTGTATGGAGCACTGTCTTCTTAAAAATAAAAACAAAATTACTAAGGAACTCCGGATTATGCACCCAACGTGTTCTTTTCTATTTTCTGCATACCTGCGCACTTTGTGTGTGTTTGTGTGTCTGTGTTTGTTTGTGTGTGTGTGTGTGTATGTCTGTGTTTGTGTGTGTGTGTTTCTGTGTGTGTGTGTGTGATTTCCCTGTACATGTGTAAATATGCACATGTGTGTAGAATATTGTGGTTATTTCCCCACCTCTTTTTTCTCTTGTCTTCCCACACACTCTTTTTTCTTGTTTCTCCACACTCTCTCACTATTCTTTTTCTTCTCTCTTGTCCTCTGAGTCGATAAAGAATAAATAGGAAACCTTTATCAATCTAACACGTTTCATTTTTACTAGAGCGTCATCAAAGAAGAATATGTAGAATTCTAGTATTTTTTTTTTTCGTCTTGCTTGATTTTCATTGGTTCATCAGTCATCACGTTCGTTTGACTTTCTATGTATAATTCAAAGAGAGACGACGCGTTCTGTCGAAACTCTAATAAATTAACAGAGTCCAAGCCTAACAGAAAGAAACGTAAATCTTGCTAGTGTATCCTAATTCTAGTTTTTCTATGTGGAATTCAGGTGATAATATTGGCTTGGTGCATAATTATCAGGCGTTTTTGAAACAATATTATGAAAAAAGAAACATAACAATTCAACAATAACATTTTTAAATGCTTATTCCGTAGCGTATGATTATTGACACGCATTTTTATAACCTGAAAATAAAATATTTTTATTAAAAAACGTAAAGAAAACAGCAACTTTTATTAACAAATAACTCGCCCATAAAAACGCCTGATAATTATACACCAAACCAATATACAGGGTGTCCATAAAGTTTGTGTACACTTTAAAAACTTTATAACTTTATTTGTATTTGCGATAGAAATAATCTGTAAAAAATGTTATAAAGTTTAATGTACCTAGTTTTAAGTATAGCTAAAATAACTGTCATTTCAGGCATTACTGTAAATCATTTGGCAAATGTTTTCTGTGAACTGCAAAATCGTATTACACTTTGTATTGCTAATGATGGAGGACATGTGGAAACTTAAATAAAATTTCAATAAAGCCTTAAAAAAATATAGATTTACTTCTTTCTAATCCTTTTTACAAATTATTTCTATCGCAAATACAAATAAAGTTATAAATTTTTTAAAGCGCACACGAACTTTATGGACACCCTGTATATTCCTATGTTTGTGTATGTGTGTAGACTTTATTTAAGCTTAAGGATTTTCGGCATGTTGATTTGGGAGGTTTTTGCGTAGACACCTGTTGTGGTACCTAAGCACATGTTAGATTCTTTATGAGTAGATTAAATAAAAGTTGGTGGTATAATATAGTGCGTTTATAGTTTTTAGTACAATAGTTTATCAGTATTTCCTCGAACTACTTTCGACCTAAAAATTATTTTTTTTTAATTAACGTTATGGACATGTTTTTTTTTCCAGTGTATAACAAGCGAG